ATATTTGCTGCACAAATATGGACTTGCCTTTTGTGGAATATTTTCTCCAATATCTTCGACATTTATCCACCCCCACAAATTCTTAATAATTCCGACAGAAAAAAATTGATAAAATGAAATAAAAGATTGTAAATATCTTTCAACTAATTCCGGTAGATAAAAGGGAACATTATGATTAATATCTACTCCATTTTTCCACATTATACCCAGTGGATATATAAGCCAGGGCCCGCAGTGTCACATCATTCCCAAGTTGGCTATCAAGCTAGAGGAGGCTATTCATGTTGATACCTACTCAATACATGCTCAACTTACAACATGACCTGACTCAAAGACACCTCCAAGGATGAATCAACTCATCATCCTATAGCCCTCAAAGAGCTGTATCAAAGTTGACTATGCTTGGGACAGTGTGAGAGCCAACTTGGTCATGATGTCAAAAACTGGTGATGTCACGTCAATCCTTCAGCCATATCCCCACATGAACTTACAATTATGTTTTAAGATATGACAGTAGGTAGTAATATGAAAGGCTGAGTCCCAAGGTGAAAGACAACTTGTGGATGATGCCAAAAACTAATGCTGCAGCACTGGCAATCCTTCAACCTCATCCCCATAACATAGATGGAGACACCATAATCTACATGTCAACTACAAACTTTTTTAAATGAAAAAGTAGACACTACAAACTCTTCTAATAAAAAAGCACACACTACAAGATTTTGTAGTCCCAAAAAACAGACACTGCCAACTTTTCTAATGAATAAGCACATACTACAAACCATTGTAATGATAAACAAAGCAGACACTACAAACTTTTCTAATGAAAAAGCGCACACTACAAACTTTTGTAGTCTCAAAAAGCGGTCACTACAAACTTTTCTAATGAAAAAGCGCACACTACAAACCTTTGTAATGACAAAAAAAGCGGACACTACAAACCTTTCTAATGAAAAAGCGCACACTACAAACTTTTGTAGTCTCAAAAAGCGGTCACTACAAACTTTTCTAATGAAAAAGCGCACACTACAAACCTTTGTAATGACAAAAAGCGGTCACTACAAACTTTTCTAATGACAAAAAGCAGACACTACAAACTTTGTAGTCAAGATAACCTTTTGACCTTAACTCTAACTTTGTAGTGTAAATCTAAGCTTTTGTAGTCTAAGTCCGACTTTTGTAGTCTTTTATAGTCTATCAGTAAACTTTGTAGTCTAAGTCTGACTTTTTTGTAGTCTATCAGTAAATTTGGTAGTCTTTTGTAGTGTATTAGTAAACTTTGTAGTCTTTTGTAGTCTATCAGCAAACTTTATAGTCTAAGTCTGACTTTTGTAGTCTATTATAGGGTATCAGTAAACTGTGTAGTCTAAGTCCGACTTTTTTGTAGTCTATCAGTAAATCTATATCTGACTCTTATAGTAGAGCATGCACCTTCCTTTTTTGGTCATTTTTCCCATGATACAATAATTGTAGCCCTTTCTTTTAGCTTTCTGAATATACTGAAATTACGTTATTTGGTTTTGTTTTCATGGAGAAAAACACAAAAAACAAAAAAAAAAACGCGACACTTTTGACATTCATTTACCTCATATCTCCACAACAGGAGCACTTCAGAACATAATTCAAACAGATTTGGGAAGCTACAGTGCAGGGCTACAACTTTGGTTTTTTGACCCCTTTTGGAGTTTGGTCATGTGACCACTCTCCTGATTACTAAAAATTGCCAATAATATTGCCCAAGTAGCTAATGAAAATCGCAATGATGTTGCCCAAGTAGCCAATGAAATTTCCCATGATATTGCCAAAGGAGCCAATGAAAATCACAATGATATTGCCCAAGTAGCAAATGAAAATCGCAATGATGTCGCCCAAGTAGCTAATGAAATTGCCAATGATATTGCCCAAGTAGCTAATGAAAATCACAATGATATTGCCCAAGTAACTAATATAATTTCCAATGATATTGCCAAAGGAGCTAATGAAAATCACAATGATATTGCCCAAGTAGCTAATGAAAATCGCAATGATGTCACCCAAGTAGCTAATGAAATTGCCAATGATATTGCACAACCAGCTAATGAAATTTCCAATGATACTGGCCACATAATTTATGAAAATCGCAATGATATTGCCAAAGTAACCATTGAAAATCGCAAAATGATATCACCCATGTAGCTAATGAAATATCCAATGATACTCGCCAGACAACTAATGAAAATCGCAATGATATGGCTTTGAAAAGATATGAAATTGGTAATGATAACCACAGGCTACCTTATGAGGGAGGCCCAAAACCTTGCCTACACTTAATGAAAAAGCGCAGCCTTTATGATAATGAAAAAACATGGTAACAGTAATGATTCCCTATCATAAAGAGTGTGGATGGATACACAGGGACCTATAGGCAGTTACCTGTTTTATATGATAACTAGTGGTAGCCACTAGTGACTTGAAAAATTTCCATTGCTAAAGCAGTTCAAAGATAATTGGGCCATCTCTGACTTTGTGAAGCTTGAGCTGAAACGGACTGTGCAGCAATCCCGGAGATCGCGTAAGAAAAACTCAAAGGCGCGCAATTCCCTGGACAATGATTTCGACGACCAGTGATTGGGCTGTGATGATCCCGTGAGTGGCCCTTTCACCGGGATATTCGCTTGGTTTCCTGGAAATACTCTAAATCTGACTTGTGCTTCGTCTTTTTGGCGGATTTGGTGTCAGATTATATATATGTTGTTGTATATTTATGTGGACCATTTTCCAAGTATGGCTTCAATACGAATTTTGAAATTGTTCAAGAATATGTTCTATACATGGATTTTGTACTTGTAAGAAGCTGTGAAAGTATGATATATTAGGCTACATATTTCTTGTTTGTCCTAAGATTTGTCAACTTTTCGAAGGATCAAAACACAATTATAATAAATTTTGATGGAAATTTAAAAATGCGACAATAAGATTCGGCCCTCGGCGGAATTGGTTGTCAGACTAAAAATCTTGTAATGAGTCCGTCTTATCAGCAAACAATAGTCAAAAATAATTAATTTGTCCTTGTATCTGTCAATCTCTTCGCTTAGGTGTCTGATCGTCCCTTGTTTCAGGTGAGAGTGCTCGTGTCTGTAATATGCTACTGTGTCCATAATGTCAAGGGTTCAATTCTTGTGGTTGCGCTTTTTTGTTAATATTATATAATAACCACAACAGTGACAAACTACTGGTCCTACTGGACTCCTAGTGCTCGGAAATTCCTACTGGACTCCTACTGGATTCCTACTGGACTAATCCTACTGGACTCCACTATACCCATTCCTTAGGAATCCGCAATTCCTTGTAATTTGGGACCATTCCAGTAGGAATTTACTAGGACTCCACTAGGACTCCACTAGGACTGGGACACAAAATTTGTATGGTGATCAGCCAACATAAAAATTGTCCCAGTCCCAGTCCAGTCCAGTAGGAATCCAGTAGGAATCTGGGAGTCCAGTAGGAATAGGTGGAGGAGAGTAAAGAGCTCGCATCTGATAGTGTGTGCATATTGATTCCCGCCTTATCAAGGTTTTAGGTTATTACCTTTGAATGCAAAACAGTCACCATGATATATACAGGATTATCAATTGGCCAATTCTCTCATTCACAACTTCATGTCAAACAGATACTACGTTGGATCAGTCAGTTATGACTTTGAGCTGGGCTGTGCTACACCACTTTATGTAAGAATATTCCGACTTATGAACAATCGGCTGTTCGTTTGCTTATCAATCACATCATCATAGATCAATCTTTCGCAGACAGAGGTGCAACAGATGGCCATTATGTCCCATGCACAAAACACCACCTTTTTGGAATGGCGGGCCTTTGACCGACAGTTTACCAACAGCGTCGAAGTTGCCTTCAAAGGCTATTTGGTAGAGCCCTGGGGGCTCACCCCGTACTATTCTGTAAGTCACTCACTGCCTCTCAGATCACATCTCATAAGGTGCTCCTGAGGACAGGCACTGGGAAGAGAATCAATAGTGAGGCTCCAATACACTTTTTTACCTCAACTAATGCTGAGCAACAGGCAAGGCCTGTTGGGGTCATACAATCCGTCGGCGCACAGAATGCACCCTGGTTCAATGGAGAACTTCTTTATATTAACTCATATCAAATCTCAAACTTCAAGCTAGCATGCTTGTATAGTGAGAAGTCCTTCATTGTGAGTAGACAATCTAGCAATCTTGTTATTTTTGCAATAATTCTTTTTTAGTATGGGTTGGCCGTCATAGGAGGTTTCCTTCAGATGGTCGATGTCAAGAAACAAGGCATAAGCCTGAAAGCTCTGTTTAGAGACACAGACATCACCAATGTGAGAATGCACGAGCCAGATGTGGTAGGAGCCAGCTTGGTCAGTCCAGATCCCTTTGATATAGTGTTTGAGGTACGTGAACAGCCAACATGGTACTCTGAATATTCCAATGTGTCTGACTTGGGGATTGTGATCTGCATAAGATTGATTCAACGCCTGCCATCGTCCGGGGATGTAAGTTGAATTCAGAGTTGATGTATTTATACTAATCTTTTGAACCTGAACCAGCTCTGGTTCCACAATCAGATTACATAAACCGCTTTGCTCAACTTCTAGAACCAACAATGACTATTGTCAGGCTGGAATACCGATTCTTGTTTTGTCAGGCTTTTGAAGAGGGTACCATGATCCCAGCAAGTTGTCTACCCTGTCATTAACTTTAACATTTGAGTATCAACTTCTGGCTTTGGTGATTAGGACTGGATCTTCGAGGGACGCGCCCCCTACCTAGTGCACTGCATCCATCGAGCCAGACAAAAATTATGGACAGAGATCCTGTGCAGTTCAACAATCGCTGCTGGAGAAGATGCAGCTAAAAACGATGCGATGATCCAAAATTTCATCTACAATATCTAGATGGAGATATATCAGGCTGAAGCGGCAACACCACCAGAAACGAGTAAGTTTTATTTCAAAATTCTAACCTAGTGCTAATTGTGCTGAAAATAGTTATCTGGTGGATCCGACACCACGAAGGAATCAATGTCCCAGACACTTTCGCTCTCAACATTCTCTACTCGGCCTATGAACAAATTTATGCATATATCAAGCAAAAATTACAAGAAATATTTACGAACATCCTTCCTCGTGAAAATGTCCACACTCTCACGAAGTTTTTCATTCTCTCAAATACCTTTGAGTTTTCTCTGGAGGTCTGCTAAGCACAATTTTTTGGAAAAACACATTTGGACTTACTAATTCTTACATATAGCTCAACCAGCAGGAAGGGATTCACGCCAGTACTGTGATTCAAAAGCTATTGACATGCCTGCTCACTCGAGAAGTCTCCTTTGTGTCAGATGGAAAACTTCTTATGATGAGGTCCCCCAAAGACAAAGCCCGCCGATTCATGGAAAGAATTGCTCCCTCAATGTCACACGTGGAAGCTTTTATAGAGACCATGGTAAGATCAATCTATATGATTGTAAAAACTTTCTGACTTTGATATTGAGATTATTGATCATATCCTCCAAGATGTGCTACCCAGCCAGCCCGAATTCTATCGATACTTTACAAGGGATCTAAAAAATGTCTGGATGCTGGGCAGGATGAAGGACCTGTTCAACATGCTGTGTACCTGTATCTTTCAAGATCGGCTCTTCCAGCTTGACTGCCAAGCATCAAGTTTTCCCACCAACTATCTTGAGGAGTCATACCGCAACCCTAATGAGTCGTAATTTCTGTGATATTCAGATTGGTATGTAGTATATTCAGTAAAGTACATCTTGGTGTAAGACCTGCTGCTTTCCTGCTGAATTTCTTTTTGGGTACAATGTGGAAAAGTCCGGCTCATTCAGGCCATATACATCTCAACACTCACTTCCATCGACTTTGTCCACTCCCATTGGACCTGCTGCACATGTAGCGCTGCTAAGTGACAATGCCCTCAAACTTACTCGACGTCTCATTGTGAGCTCTGCACACGGCAGCGAGTCGTCCTTGATTGCGTAGATGATGCGCATTTTCAAAGGTGAGGAGGAACAACATGTGTTGCACCTACAGACGCGTACAGACTCGAGACTTTCCGCTCTACCGTGGGGTCCATCTCCGCCACCGCATCGCAGCAGCTTCGGTGTTACTTTGTTACGAAATGCAACTTCCCCACCAAGCCTCCCACTCCTGGTGAGAAGACAGACATTCCAGCTGTCTCGGACTTGTCCTTCTGGAAGATTAGTCATTGGGTACAAGATGAGCAGAACATCAAGGTTCTGAGTCAGCGCCCTGTCAAACTTGTACCATTTGTAGTACTCTCTCTACTCGGCGCGCAATATATGATGGCCCTACGGTACTCGAGCTTACCCGCGAGAGAAGATTAGTCATTGGGTACAAGATGGGTGGAACGTCAAGGTTCTGAGTCAGCGCTCTGTCAAACTTGTACCATTTCTAGTACTCTCAGCTCTACTCAGCATGCAAGTATGTTGATGAGTTTTATATGATCTGTTAAAACCTGAATTGCTAACTTTTATTCTCCAGCAGTGTTACCATTGTCTCCCCTACCTAAATGCTCTCCCCAACACCAATGCACTCCTATTGAGCACTTCATCTTCCAAGTCATGAAAGAAGCCCCGCTTCTCTTCTGTCTCCCTGACAACCCATACTTCCTTCCCAAGGTTTTGGGATGCCATGCTGTTCAAGAAGCGACATTTTCCTGTGTGTAGTTCTTGCTCCACGCATCATAGAGATTAACCTTCAGTGCACAGATTGTGGCTGGATTTTCGCACAACACCTCTGCAATCGTCTTGGCCCAGCATATTTTCAGCTAAAAGGTGTGTTGAATGAGAACGACGCGGCGCATGCAGAGGTGCAGAATGACATCAAGCCCAGGTTCTGCAAAGAAAGCTTTACACATGAAAGTATTGTGCAAGTTATTCATGCCCACCCCGATCTTGCAAGTCTTTAAGTTGTGCAATAAATTCATTATCAACGACAACTCCTTCAGATCCGCTTGTTGTACAGCAACTTTGCCATGACGGGTCATTATCCTCCATCGGTACTTTTTTTTAGTGGAAAAACTCTTTGAAACTGAAAGAACGCATAGGCCGACTCTATTGTACCAACACTTGCAAACAGTTTTTCAACCCCTAAGCGACGCAGACTTGCATGACAAGATTGGCCGAACCATACTGAATAAGCACGAATTGAGGGTCCAATATTTTGGTAATATGGAGCATCATGATGGGACGCTGAGTGTTCTTTGGATGATAAACGGAGCTTGGAAGTTTGTGAGTGTTGCCTTTCCATGTTCCTGCATGGACACTTACGTTTCCGCAAGGGAGCAAGGTAGAAGACCTTGACATACCGAGAGAATGCTGTTGTGTGCCTGAACTTGACGAAGGTAGGGTGGTGCGTCTTTGGCAGATTACTGCCAATGGAGAGTCAGAGTAACGGAGAGTGACTCGAGTTTATCTATGGCTCCTTGGAGGTTGTTGAAGCTCATTGCTATTATTCACGAGTAGGTTCTACCTGTGTGTTTGAATTCTATCGGGCTGATGAACTATCTTTCTAGGTTGCAGAACCTGAAAAGGTCTTCGTCAGCAAATCTTGTCAAGGTGGAGGAGGTGAGAGTCATCGAGTGAGCAATGACCTACCTTTTGGATACATGTCCACCTACCGTGACTGGCCTTTCAACAGGCGTCTTTCGAAGTTGCTTGCAGTTCAAGAAGTTTAACTCCAAGGACAAAGAGAATTGGTGAGTCAAAGGTCGGACTCACACTATCAGTTGCAGAAGACGAGAAAGTGGTTGTGGACACAGGCGGGATTCATAAATGATGACGACATACCCTCTCATGTGCCGTGAACGATAATCTTGCCAAGTAAAGGAATACACTAGCGACATACCCTACTAACCTTGCTACGAATAATGCAGACTACTTGGATGAGCAGATAAATGGTATACTATATACTTCGACCTCGGGCAGGCACTCAAGAGGCTAGAGAGACTGCCAATCTCAAAGCCTCATACAATCAACCTACTTGGGAGCTGCTGCCCTCATTGCGTGACTCGTGTTTGTCAGTTCTGTTGTGAGCCATATCCTTTTCTGACTTGTTAATTTTGATATGATTCTTTTCAAGGGTGACTTGGGGTCCCAAGCTTGGGATGAGGCAAATGATCGTATCACGATATTCCTTTAAGGTTGGACTCTCTTTGAGTTCTCCTACTGTTAATCGGACCCTGACTGTCATGGTACGATTTCTTCTTATGCTAAATACAGTTGATTTCATCTAGATACAGTTGAACAAAATCAGAGAAAGGTGTCCTGCTCACATCCAAAATGTAATGATTTGTTTACCTCAAGAAAATTGCTTGCGTGTATTATATCTCCCTTCCCCTATCCTCCAGCTCCCCACTCTGCACAGGAACAGCAACCAAACTCATCTCACCCCGTTCCTTGCCGTACCTCATTAATGTCTTCACTATCATCGCGAAGTACACCATCCCAAGCACCAACACCCCCATGACAGCCACCTGTGAACTCAAAGCCGCCGTTGTGCTTAACGGTATGGAAGGATCGTTCCCCGATTCTTTGAGCCAGACAAATGAAAGTATGGATGCGAGGCAGAGGAGCGTTGACCTGTTGGGAAAGAAATACAGTGTTAGGCTGAGAATGGAATCTAAAGGTAAACAATACCAAGACGTCGATACCACCGGCATCACCAGTAATACCCAAACATTCCACCATGCAGCGGAACTTGTCCCCCTTACTTCCTACCAGCAGCCAAATCAGTTAATATTTTCCTCCCTTTATTCTTGAACACATCCACGCACCTCTTCCCACCTCGACGATCAAAACATGCTCCTCATTGTCCCAAATATCACCATATATATACATCCATATATAAGACCCATCAGGGCGCATATCAATAAAAGCAGTGCTGTTTCCCTCGTAATATGGTCATTGGCCGCTTGGGGTATTTGCAATAACGCTGAAACAACCCTATGATATATATATTTTTAGCTCTGCCGTACTTAAAAACAGAAAAGATAACGCACATTGTCAATAAAGCAGATATGCCATTCAGAATCTTCCATTCTTTCAACAAAGAATCCAAATTTGAATCCGACCCAGTGGTCCTCCAATGATACCACATAGGCAACCTCAGAAGCAATAGATTGTGGTATATCTGCCTAGGCAACAGACACGCAGCGTGCAAAATGACTTCACAGTATTGTCATTGCAGTTGGAGGGGCCATTCAACAATGAGTTGAAGGAGGGGTTGGTGTTGGTCATCAGACTTGCGATTGCATGTGGGCCTGGGCTGGCATTCGTTTCGGGGTCGACATCTCCAGTAGATGAAAACCAATGGTAAAAAGGAGCCCAGCTTGTCTGTATCTGCACAAGCAACCTAAACGTGTTTCCGGATGCAAAGCTCTCTTCTAGAACAGGGGAATTTGCACGTGATCAAGAGGGGGTATTGAAAGTAGATGGGTATCTGAAATAGTGTTGCCGCGGCTCCGGCTCAGAGCCAGCTGAAGCCAGGAGCCGAGCCGAGTTTAGCTGAAGCCCAGCCAGAACTGTTGAGTGATGACTCCAACGGCTCGGCTAATTTCGGCTCCGGCTAAGAAGCCGGCTTGAGCTGACTAAGCCAGTTATAAATAGTGATTGTCTCGCAATAAGGTCAAGAATATACATTGCCATCAATATACACATAAAACATACATAAAGAGTCTCTAAACATATCTAAGGTATCTTATCCCCGGGTAACTACAAGTTCATTGGTGGTGATTTGGACATCAACCTTTCTCAAAAGCTTTGTTGATTTCAAATGAGAGCAGCCGCATATATCTTCACCAAAAACCTTGATCCTAAACTGTGACCCCTTATGCGGGCCGTCAAACACGGTAACGACTTGGGCTTTGCACTCTGGCCTTTCAGGTATCAAGTACGGAAATGGCACTTCCACCACTGTGAAACTGAGTTGGACCTTAACCACATCTCCGACCACTCCCTTGAACTCCCCGCACATATTTTCGTACTTGCCATCATGGAAATTAGAGCAGGAGTTGATGAGATGAAGGCTCAGTCTCATGGTGGCAAAGCGGTTATCTCTAAGCCAATATGGAGGGGCTGCCATAATTGCGTCAGTATATATATTGACTCTGAATCAAAAATATAATTGCCATAATTGCCACGGAGAGGGGTATCTGAGCTTGGGTTCCAAGCTGGGCTCGTCGGGATATCTTGTGAGTTAGGAAGCGGAGTAGACGGCCCCGCAATGGTCGGAGTCTGCACGAGGGCAGCAGGATATGCGGCTGAGGGTTGCGGATCCGGCAAGGGCAGACCAGGGAACAAAAAGCTTGCCAAAGTACCAGGCGGAGGCGCTGGTTCAAGTGGGTAAGAGAAATCGGTCAGAAGCTCTCGAGGCCTTGGGGGCTGAAGCCTTTCGTCAGCACTGGAAGCTAATTAGCATCGATTTCAGAAAGAAAAAAAAAGCAAAAGGGCTTGCATGATGTGTAGCGCAGAGATGTCCAAAATTTGTGGGCGTTGGAGGAGCGCCTCGAGTTCGACCAAAAGCCTTTTCTCACCAACTGTGCTTTTTATTCTGCCTCGGTAAGTTCTAAAATTGCCTTGGGTTACCATTACGCGTTTTCCTACAAGATGACTGTTCGAGTCCCCCTTCATGACTCACTTTTGTGCAGCTGTCAAGGACTCTGGGGATTCCGTTGCGAAGACAAAGGGGGAGCTGAAGAACTCGACATTCCCAGGGGATACCTCTACCTAAAAGATGACGGATTGTCAGAGTATGTATTGTAAAAACGAAACATTTACCTCTGTTCCGGTCCTGTCATTGAAGACACACACATAGTCATCGTCTTGATTTACTACCCAGCTCGTAACACCTTGGTGGTCTCCTGAAAGAATGCGCACTTCGTCCCCTACTTTAAGATGTTTTCGAAGCGACGAAAAGGGTATGGTAATTGTCACATCATGTGTTGTCAAAAACACAACAGCCTCATTGTCTTTAATGTCAACAATCGTTCCAAAAGCCGCCCTCGAATCTCCGTCAGTAATTTTCACTCCATCGCCTATCTGAAGAATCCTGGCCGACATTCTCGCCATTGTGTGCTGTCGGACGTTGAGAGGGATGTCCGAACAGGTGCTAAACAGATCGAATTCTTTCGGTGATGGTACCACATCTTCAGCGGTATACCAATCAGTGTCGAGGTCCGGGAAGTACGCATATCCATCGCCATCGTAAAGAACTCCTCGGAATAATGATAAGTTGTTTCGTGTTTGGAATGCCCGACGAAACCGTTGCTTGGCCAGTGTTGGATTGAACAGGGCTTGGGGAGGTCACCCTGGTGCTGAAGCTCTTCGGTTTAGCTCGCGTTCAGGTTTGTAGAATGCTGCGAACTCGTCGTCCGTCTCATCGTTTCGGTCCTCATGTGCGATCAGCCGGCTTCCTTTGACTTTGGTGGAAGGTGGGTCATAGGTCACGCGTGGTACCACGAGGACATTGATGAGTAAGGATGTGACCTCCCGAATGAAGGTGATATCTCCTTTGTAGATGCCGCGGTGCAGCCTCACCCAGGAATGATGCTTTGGTCGAAAGGTGTCGGGAAGAGTGAAGATGGAGGGGTTAGGATCCGGGATGTTGAAAGTCTTTGAGGCCAGCACGTTTGATATGCCGTTACAGACTTCGCGAATCATTTCTTTAGAACCACCTTCGAAAAAGACTCTGCCGGGTAGTGCCTTCCAACCAAAGACCGCTGGGGGTCGTAAGTGTGCAGAAAACCTCTCGTCCATGAGGCGCCGATGGATTCGAAAGACTATCTGCTCCTCATAACCAGGCTAAGTATAAAAGTTATTACAAAAATAACCCGAAGATGGGGTTACTTTTACCTTGACGACCACCGCCCATAAAGACACCTTTCCAATATCTTGGACATCTTCCCCAATATCTTGATGAGACGTGACACGCTCGAGAAAGCTTTCCCAAAAGGCGTCGTCATCAGACGGCATCAATGCTTCACGGAGAAGGTTTCGGTGTGCATCTGCCGAAATCGACTCGTCAATGTCTTCATCATCGTCGATAAGATCGTCTTTGAAAGAATTAGCACTGTACCAACTACAATTACAATCTATAATACACACCTTCGTCGCCGTCATTCTGATCGTCAGTCTCAGCCTCTGATACTTCAGCTTCGAGATCTAGGAATCCAAGGACTTCTGGCGACTATAGCATGATTAGCTTGATACGAAATCTCACAAAAATGAAAAGAACTTGCCTCAAGTTTTCTACGTTTCATTGGTCTCTCATTGTGTTTTGATGCCATGATTTCGTATTTACTAGCTATGCACAAATGTTTCTATCTGTTAGAGTCTACAATCTACAAGTATGGTGCACGGAAAGAGGAAAGAAGCCTGACGATAGTTTGCGGGCTGTTTAGCTTGATTGACTTTAGGGCCAGTCCACATGTCACTAGTAGCTACCACTCTTTATGATAAAGTACAGTCAAGTGCCTGCACCCTCACATCCACACTGCCTAAGGAATCTATGAAATGAGACACTCAGGCAAATGTTATGAAATGTATTTCATTTCTTTGCCAGTCCTTACTTCAATCCTGTCCTTCAATACTATTTCATTTCTCATGCCCACCATCATTTCATTCCCACCTGGTCTTCAATTTCATTGCCCCCCAGCCTTATTTCATTGCTGCCTGGCTTTCAATTTCATTGCCCCCAGCTATATTTCATTGCCCCCCAGCATATTTCATTGCAATTTCATTGCTGCCTAGCTTTCAATTTCATTGTCCCCACCTATATTTCATTACCCCCCAGCCATACTTCATTGCTGCCTGGCTTTCAATTTCATTGCCCCCAGCTATATTTCATTGCCCCCCAGCCATAATTTCATTGCTGCCTAGCTTTCAATTTCATTGTCCCCACCTATATTTCATTACCCCCCAGCCATACTTGCATTGCTGCCTGGCTTTCAATTTCATTGCCCCCAGCTATATTTCATTGCCCCCCAGCCATATTTCATTGCTGCCTAGCTTTCAATTTCATTGTCCCCAGCTATATTTCATTACCCCCCAGCCATATTTCATTGCTGCCTGGCTTTCAATTTCATTGTCCCCAGCTATATTTCATTACCCCCCAGCCATATTTCATTGCTGCCTAGCTTTCAATTTCATTGTCCCCAGCTATATTTCATTACCCCCCAGCCATATTTCATTGCTGCCTGGCTTTCAATTTCATTGCCCCACCATTTCATTGCCCCCCAGCTTTATTTCAGTGCAATTTCATTCCTGCTTGACCTCCAATCTCATTACCCCCTTTCCATTCACATGATGATTACATCAGCCAAGCACAAAGAATTTGCAGAAATGCCAGACCATCACCATAAGACCAATGTATTCTCTATGTATTGTTTATATCATGTACTGATATTGAAGGGGATATTGACTATGAAAAGCAAGGTTAACAAATATTGATGAGCCACGACGAAGAATCTCTTAAGTACAATAACGATGTAGTCACGTGACGTGGTAGCTACGTGTGAGGTCACAAAATTTCACCAGAACTACCAAAAAGCATGTTGAATGCTCCAGTCAACGACAACTAGGAAAGACAATTGTTAACAAGCAAAGAGGTAATACAGGAAAATGGCATACCTCTCACAGCATGTTGAATACTATACCTATATCCAGTCAACGACGGCTAGGAAAGGCAATCATTAACAAGCAACGATCACGGTAACACTGGAAAATAGCATACCTCCGTTTCTGCAGAGGCTGATCTTCCACCTCATTGCCCTGACAGTCATCATCACGGTGCCGCTTCTGAACGGTCAATGCGAGAGAATCCTGACCATCCGTCATCTGCCGGATAACCCAGGAGAGGTCATCCACGACAGCCCATGCATTGGCATCACGTTCGTTTTGCTGGCTCTTGATCCACCACGAAAGACCCATCACCACAACGTAAATGCCTGATGTGCCCCCTTTCTTCAAAGCCACCCACGTTTCGGCCTTCGGAGTTTCGCGAACAAGGTCGAGTGGGCCGTTTGCACCTTGGAACTGGCGCCAGGAAGGCTGGAGTCCTCCCCACCATTCCATAAAGTGAGGACCATACACATCTTGCTTGATGGAAGGAACGACGTCCTTCTTCTTGCTTCTAACCCAGTCGGAGATCTCTTGTGGTCGCGATTTCGTCGACAGATTCTGGTTGTCAAAGTGAAAGATCAGCTATTGTTTAACTGACAAGAAATATTGGAAACTTACACCATTCGCGGGATGACCAAACTTCTCAAAACCGACAAGATTTGTCACCAAATCCTGCCACACTCGATCCGCGGCTACACCACGCAGGTAGCCAATCATCAGAACGAGATACGATGGTAACTCGCTGTCATCGGTGTCACTATTGCGTTCGCCGCCGGTGGGTTTCTCTTGAGCAGGTTCCGTCGACTGATGAGCGAGATCTCCGCCGATATTGGATGGACCACCAATAGGACATGTCAGTTCACTCGAAGCGGGTTTCTCTTGAGAAAGTTCCGTTGGCTGACGGGCGAACTCTCCGCCGATGTTGGATGAATCACCAACGGAGATTGGAGTGGCGGGGGAGAGGGTAAGAGATGTCGTATGGGCGAGATCCAAGCTCACAGGCGCAGGTGCGGAATCAGAGTTGGTGATAGACGTGGGTCCGGAATCAATGGTCAAATGGGCGAGCTCTCCACCGATATTAGATGAATCACCAACGGAGATCGGAGTGGCGGGGAAGTGGGTAAGAGACGTCGAATGAGCGAGATCCAAGCCCATAGGCGCAGGCGTGGGTTCCGAGTTGTAGATGGATGTGGGTCCAGAGTCGATGGCCAAAGCTGAAGCACCGGGGGTTTGAGCGCTGACTGGAAGAGCAACGGACAGAGCCAACTCCTCTGTTGGGAGTTCATTCTGGTGGTCAAGGGGGGCCACAATGCTGATAGGGACCGTGGGCTGAGACTCGGATGTTGGGGTTATCAAAGACAGAACGGCTGTGGTCGAAGAACTGAAGGCGTTTGTGAGTGTTATGTCACAACCTCAGTCACAATAGATAACACATACTTCGCCTGATCTTTGATTCTTGTTGACCCTCGTCGAACGACTTCCCCCTCTGGTGCTTTGCCTTTCTTAATACTCGCTGGCTTTCTGTGCTCTTTCTTTCCTCTCAATTCCTCGGGGAAGGGGTATTTCTTATCAACTTCGGCAAGCTTTCTCTTAAGCTCCGCGACATTCTTCGCCTTGTTTATCTCGTATTCACTAAGGCCGTGCGATTTCGTCGCAGTTACGTGGTGGTCTCCATGCGCGCCCGCAGCTGCGTTGTCGCCACCGTTATCTTCTGCCGCCATGTTGTCCCCGTCCTCTTTCTGCTCTGAGTGCCACTCTTTATCGGAGACTTCCAAGTCGGCGTCTGTCTCAACTTTCACAAGTCGGCATGAAGCACAATCCTCCGCAGCTTCAAAAGAAAGTAGGTGGAGTCAGTTTTCGAATCGTCATCTTCTGATCATTGTACTCACAAAATGATGAATTGAGGAACCTTTCGAATGGAAGCAAAAGAGACGCGTCGTAATCCTGCTTCCCCAGAAATTTTTCAAATGTCTCGCCGGATTTGGTCTTTCCAGTATGAGATCTGGACATTTCCGTGAGTTTTATACGCTTGGTAGTTGTTTGTTTGACTTACAAGAAACTCACGATCATTCCATCGTGTTCAGGTGAAGGACCCCCTGCAAGAATTGTGATATTCCAACCTGTCTGTTCCATGAGTGATGCACCCATCGCTGCTAGAGATCGAGGAAGTCTTGTAATAGCGCTTATTACCAAAGTAAGCGGGTTTACGCTCAGAAATTTCTCAAGACACTCACGACTGCAATTCGATGTTTTTAGTTGCCTCTTCACCGGCCAAGGCTGTGGGAGTTTCATCACGACGATTCTTCCGATATTCTTCGCACTCGGCCCTGATCTCAGGGGTCTCTCCGGCGTATTTTTCTTTAATGAACTCTACCATAATCTGAAACCGACCCTTTGCAGGCTTACTCTCCTCTGGGTGCTCAGTAGCCCATTCCTCCTGGTACGCAGTCCATCTCTCTTGAATGAATGGTTTCCATTTCGTCTGATAGGTGAGGGCATGATATGCCTGCCATGCTTGGAGCATCTTGGGCTTAGCCTTGACCTTTAATATGCCATGAGTGCCCCCGTTTGAAGCCACGTTCCTTGTATTGTTGTGGAACCAATCGCGGACACGCTATGTAAGTGTCAATTAGAATGTTAGTCTATTATGATTGGTGATCGTGTACCTTGTCATACTTCTCGCGCTTCTTCTTCGTTGCAGATTCTTCAGAACCGGCCTTCTCGACTTCCTCTGGTGTGGCTGGGGACACAGGCCATTTTTCGCGGAAGTCCTTGACCACATCTGGAAAGAATTCTTTGGCAGCGGCTTTCCGCTGATTGACCTCGATGAACTGGGCTTTGCGCGAATCAAGCCAATTATGTTGATCTTTGTCAGCCCACGAAGCGCGTGTCATATCGAGTGAGTCGCGTTACTGAAGGAGCTGAGTTATTGAAGGAGCCGCGTAAAGTCGAATCGAAATCTGGGAGTGCTAGTATTAGCTTCTTGCTACGTGGATCCGGCCGCAGACCACTCCAATCACTGGTCGTCTTTTGTCATGTTTGGGCCTCTGCTCTGCATTGAGACTCTTTTTTTTTTCCTTCCCACTCCACACCAAGAATGGCCAGTGGACGAAAAGGTGAGTCTCTCACATGTATCAAGTCTCAGTTCTCTGACAACGCCAATAGATACATCGGACGTCAAGCTTTTGCCGGAGTCTGCCGGCGCTGCCAGTGCTCAGACTGTCACTGTAGTCATTGATCGTGAACGCCTTCGTCAAGTTGAAACACTGCTGCGAC